GTGAAGTGTGCAAAATCAACTACAGCATAAACGCAAAATCTGTTTTATGTAAAATTATTTAGCACTCTTCTAAAACCGAAAAATTTCATATAGGATAGTATTCTACTTTTACTGAAAAGAAATTTACATATTCAATTGCAAAAATAATTATTCTGCTTCAAATGAAGCAAGAAAACCAATTATTAATTGAATAATTATATTAAAATAATCCCGAAAAATACAAAGCACAAGTTAAAATTTTCACTGCTATTAAGATTTATTTTTACTTCAATATTTTTTAATTTTTGTATTGACTTGATGTAAGATGTTGTGTATTGTGTATTTCATTGTATCTGAATGGAGAATAAATAAATAAATAAATATTTTATAATAGTGTATTAATGTTAGTTTAAAAATGTTTTTAACTTAAAAGTATTTTTTTATTACAACTATTAATGCACTTTTTTTTAAATATTAAACATAAAGTTAAAGCAATTTGTCTTTACATGTAGTAATCCCGGCATCGCAGGAAGTTAGATTTAGAAATTGTTAAATCAAAAAATAATATTTAAAGCTAAGGAATATTACATGAAATTTAATGACTTTACTTGGTTAAAGTAAAAAAATCAGTGGACTGACAGAAATTAAGTGATTTGTCAACTGATTCATTAAAAAATTCTCTAATAAAATTATAATCCCAATAGTAAATTCATCAATCAAATTTAAGATTTTTTTCTAAATTCTGGAAAAACGCTATATATAATTCTTTCTTCAAATAAATAAATAAAAAATAGTGAGTTGGCAGTTCCGGTCGTCTGGTCTTAATTGTTTCATGCCAGAGTGTCATTTCCTCTCCACCGATCGAATGCATACCCTGACGATTCCAAGAAGCCAGGCATCTTTCCTTTGACTTTCCGAGCCAAAAAACAGAACAATTCTGTGTGTACTGTAATTTTTTAACACACGCGGGGCAGGAAAAATGTTTGCGGCGCCGCGTGTGTGTTATTCCCATAGCCAGCCAGGCCTGAAAATGATATAACAGCAATAACAATATTTATATCGTGACGGGCTGCACGAAAGCCGTTTCCTCGTATTTCAATGACAAAAACCACCGTCTAACACGAACGAGATCTCCGGCCGAATTTCTGCCGTGTGCACGAGCTTAGGGGACCACAACTCGGAAAAATTTGTGGCCATGCCAAAGACGCGTGTTGGCGAAATACATACAAAAGTTTGAGAAAAAGACTTTCACGACACAGCCGTCAACAGTTTCCTCTGCAAAGTTTTACCGCTCAATGCGCACGTCCGGACAAAGACCACGCAATAATATTTCACTTTATATAACTAAATATAAAATTATCAAATAACATAGAAGTAAAAGTAAAGGTTTTGGGTGTTGAATTTGCATTTAAAATAGCGATATCCTTTCGGCGTGAAATTTATTCTTTAAGTTTGATTTTTACTGCGTGCCTCAAGCTTACATTTAAATTTAAAATGAAAAATTATCTCAAAATTATTTATTAGTTTATTTTTAAATCGTGTTTGATTGTAAAATTTTAACACTTCAATAAAATTAAGGGCGATCCAAAAGCTTCACTTTACCCAGACCAGCAACCCTCTATGCGATTTGAATTGTGAATCAAGTTAAAGCCTAGACCAATTGGAATTTTGGATCACCCTAATTAATTTTGATTTTTTATATCTAAACTTTCAATCAAAATTAGCAAATTTAGTTTAGATTATAAGAAAATCAAATCATTGAAGTTTATATTTTATATAATTTTTTTTAACAATTTGAATTAATCTTTAAAATTTTATCGAAATGTGCACTTCCAAAACAGACGAAAAACAAACCTCAGGGGGAGTCATAAAACAAAAGAGGCTATACATTTTTTTTATTTTCCTCCTGCGCCTTATTTTCTCTGAGAATTTTCTGATCTTGCCACAGAAATATTTTCCCACACAAACATCTCTTGAAATTCATAGTAGCCCAGAAAAATTTGCATCCAACGCGCTTTCGGCTTTTCACGCCCGAATCAGGATGGAATATTAATTTACCAAAAAATACTATAATATATTTATTCTCCCCGGAGGTCATTTTTTTTTTATATTTTCCTTTGCGGCTATTTGTTTGTTTCAGTTTCGCGAAAATCACGATCCACCCGCTATGTTTGTTTACATTAATTATACCACTCTGATGCAAAAAAAGAGTAATGTGAAAAAAAATTCATAAAGCAATAAATCGGCGGAAACATGAAACGCAATCGGCGCATGAAAATGCAAATTAGCAAAGTGCAAAACAATATATACAAAGAAACACGTCACTTGAGCAAAAAATAAAATTAATTGTTTAATTAGCACCGGGTCCTCTATAACTTCGTCTCCGGAGCATTTGGCACTGCTTACTTAGAGAGGCCGTCATGGCTTGGGGGATTATTTATATTTAAATATAAGCGCGTTATCAGCTGGCCGTTTCCTCTGGGGTTATCGGAATCAGTTGGCCCCACCGGGGTCGTGCTCGGCCGCGCGGCCAGACAGACGCGAGTTTTGATATATCAAGAGCGCGCGCATTTGTGTCTGTTGTACACAAACTTATACGCGCAATTAGCACAAAATTAAACTCTCTGCCGCGAACGTCGTAATTACAATTCTGTTCTGACGCCATTAAAGCCGTGTTTTGTCAAGAAATTTTGCGCTGAAATTCTCATTTCAGGTGATTTATGGGGTGGAATGAAACGTGTTGCAACGTTCAAGAGCTGCCTTAATTGTTACATAAATATGCAATTAAGCAACTTTAAATTGGAAATGAGCTAGATTTTATAAAAGAACGAAAAGTTAAACAAACAACCAGAATATATGAGATAAAAATAATCAAGCTTACAATTATAAATCTATAAATAAATCATAACACAACAAGCAAAACAGAGTTAATTTGATCTTTTTAATAACTTTTAGGCTGATTTATTTTCCGAATATTTGAATAAGCTAGAAGCTCTATTATATATTCCAAATTTTTAATTATAGAAGTTAAATTCCTTAAAATTTTACAAAAATTGTTGAATAAGAAAAGAAAATTTTCAGTTTATATTATTTATTATAAATAAAAATTGTGGCAAGAAATAATAGTTGAGATTTAACTCCATATGAGAGGCTCAATAATAGCCGAAAACTTCGGCGAAAAGTCAAACTCTTAAAAACATAATTAACATAATTGGCTTAAAAAACCGCATGACTGCCCTGTTGAAAGATACGATTTGAAAAATAAATCAAGTCTCGCACAGCTTGTTGAGCAACAATTAATATTCAATACCCCCATGACGAGATAATTAGCAATCGCTAATGGATTAATGCTCTCTCTCTCTCCAACGGCGCACGTACGGATAAATCTGAACTCGTTCTACGGATGCCAAAGTACCCCATATTCGATTGCAAACATTTAAAACTTTTCAAATGGCTCTTTGATATAAATTCAAATCCGCAAACCACTACAAGGATTAAAAAATGCAAGCTTTATAACACAAAAAAACGTAAAGCTTGACTGGATGACATTATTGGTCTGATAATGATGATTCCCTTTCTCTCTGTTTGTATCTTTTCCCCGTCATGAGCGTTCCACCCGCGCATTTAAAATAAAGGCGCATCTTTCTCTCTCTATCTCGACACACACAATGATGAGAGTCGCATTTATCGGGATAATGACCAGGAATCTGGGTCTGATTACCGACGGAGCCACGTGGGTGGTATCAAAGATAACAATTGTATATAATGTGTAATCACTGGCGCAGCAGCTTTTGGCGTGTCTCTGCTCTCGGCCTCGCTCTCTCGCCGGATCATGCCATACTCTTTTTATATATATATATTTTTCCAATGCAAACATTTTCAAACCGCGCATCACGGCCGAAATCAAAGTCATGTAATAACAACATCCGTCGGTGCACACGCACAAAAGCACGCCTGTATACAAATGTGGTTTTGCATTTGAAAGGGTTTTTCGATTCATTTGAACAAATAATTCATTTTGTCATCACTTTTTGTAGGCAAAAAAAAAATCAGATTAATTTATTTATTATTATTATTTTTTTTTTAATTTTAGCCCTAGTATTATACGTTGTCTTTAAAAACAGTGTCCACTTGGTCATATTTTTTTTTTTTTATATTTCAAGCAAATTGCACAGTTTGATTGAAAAAGCAACAGTTTTGTCAATATTCCCTCAACTTTCAGATAGTTATTACTAAGGAATTGTCTAAAATTTTATAATTGTATTAAAAAGAGATACTTCAATATGAGTTATAGTATCAATTGCAGCAGTGAGTAGAATTAATTAAATAGAATCTGACGAGTGAGATTTATCGTCTTATCTTGCGGCTCTGGCTTTTACTAGTTCATCTATCGAAATTCTGTTTTCACGCAGGTCATTCAATTTTTTTGAAGGTTGGATTTTGAATTTGATAGAGTTATGCTGCTTATAAGTTTAGATGAAACGGTGAAATTTAAATTATTCAAATTCTTAACAATCGCGTCAAGCAGGTTGTTAGTAGTTTAAGATTAAATTTTCAGATTTTGTTTAAAATTGAGAAATCCTTTACTCTGAAGAATAAAACCAATTACTTTCTTTCTAAATAGTTCTGTAAAAGTTATAAAACACTGGCAATGGAAAAAATAACCTAGCATGTTATTGACCCCTGTGTATGTACAGCTGAGTATTATTCTACATACATACATTTTTATTGAGCAAAATGTAAGAAGAAGAGAGCAATAAATTTATATTAGAGAAAACTATTGAGCCGCAGTGCTAAAAAAGGCAATTGCCATCAAGCTCACGCGCGCACTGTGCAGCATTATTTACAACAAACTGCTCCGCGAGCATAAATTAAAGCAATAAGAATAACACCTGCCTCGAGAAACCTGTCATCATTGACTGGCAGGGAAGAGAGCGCGCGCGCGACAAATACATTATTAATTTATTCCTATAAATAAAAAGGCCGTTGAATATAAAGAGAAATAAAAAAAATCACCGTACCTGTAGTAGTCTTTCTTGCAGTAGATATTGCCATCCCTTGCAAAACACGTGACCTCACCGTCCAGAGCCTGTCTGCATTGAGAGCATTGCAAACAGGTGACATGCCATTTACGATCGACGGCCAGGAGGTAGTAGCGATCGCAGATACGTGATCCACATCCTGCGCAGCTGACGGCCGCGCTGCTCTCCTCTTCCATCTTGCATTGCGCGAGCGGCGCCGCCGACGACGGCGGCGCCGGTGGCGACGACGACGGACCCTTTGACGGCCCAAAGTCGGAGAAACGGCAGCACGACGACGCGCTCAGCAAACCGCTGTTGTTGTTGTCCGTCGTCGAAGTCGTCGACGAGCAACCCTCGCCCTCGCCGCCCGACGAAGAATCCGAGTGCACCGGCAAATTGGGCGACAAGTCCCGAGAGGGGTCGTACGCTGGCCCTATCGTGTATCGCTCATGCTGCTGCTGAAAACATACAAAAAATAAAATTCAATTTAATCTAAGGAAAAATACACGACTTTGCACAAAAATTTGAAAATTAAATATAAAAATAATTTATTATAAGAAATTGCTTAACACAGTATTTATTTATTATTTAAACTTTATTTTATTTCTTGAATAAAATCATAGCAAGTTTTTTTATAAAGTTCAATTGTACTGCGCTTCAATAATAAATTTTGAAAAATAAAAGAGTATTCTGAATCTATACTCCCGTTTTTTTTTACACTATAAAGACTTGATTTCATGCTCCTCATATTATATGTTGGTAGAATTGTGCAAAATATGAAGTTTATTCGTATAACACATTAGAATATATTATGATTTATAGCCCTTAATGAGACCAATCAAGGCGGAATTTTAAGTTTTTTTTTTTCATTTTAAATGAGAAAGAGAAAAACAATCATATTTAAAAGCTGTTTCTACTGCAAGAAAATGAAGTTCACGCTGCTTTCATTCAATATTTATAATATATATTGCAAAAAATTAAACAAAGAAAATACTTTGGAATGATACATAAATATAATATCATACTTTGCGTATGCATCAACTGAGAAAAATAATTAATATTATTTAATCATTTGAGATTATTTATGCATAGGCAAAAAATTTGAAAATTATATGAACTCATCGTTGCTCCTGACTGCGTGTCTGAGTATATATATATATTTTTAATTTAAATTCCAGGCACTAAAACGTGTTCAAGAATTTATATATATTTTCCAACTTGTACATTGCTGCTGTGTACGTTTATGCGATGAAATGAAAAGTGCGTGTGAATAAATAAATAAATATTATGATGAAGCACTTGCTGGGCTTGTTTTCCTGGAGCTGGCGAGCGAGCAATAAGTATGTCACACAGAACCACTCCATATATATAAGAACGCAAGAACCGCTCTTGAGAAGTACATACGCACTCTTTGCGCTGCGAACAGGCGGGGAGTTTTCAGGGGGCAACTTTTTAAGCCTTTGAGCTATTCATCATCATACTCGGCGGCGAGTAAAAAGCAGCGGCGTGATTTCTATTTCATCAAGCGCCGCCGCCGCCGCAGTCATACATATTCATGTATTTGCTCTCGTCAGATAAGACCAAACGACAACTTACTGACTTTCTTTCTAAAACCTACAGAATAAATCTCTGTTGAAAAATTCTCCTTTACGTAGACAATATAAACATTTTTACTTCTACACTTGATGGCTTTGAATTTAATACCATGAAAAATCAAGTTCAGGCACACATTTTTAGACGGAACTTTCTGCGGCTGAATCAAAGCTGAAGAGATATAAGTGGAGGAAATAATCTAGCCAGGAAGTTGGAGCGTTTCTGAGTAAAGTGATTTTGATATCAGTGCAAAGGAAAATTTTTATATAATAATATATACATTATTGAAAAGTAAAAAATTTTAAGTTGGGATTACCATGCTGAGCCAAGAATAATGTGATTGAATTTAAATGGTAATTAATAAGGAAATCTTTCATTATCAAAACAATTTCTGGAAAAATCCTGGTTTTATAGCAAATCGCAATGATATATTTTCAAAATATAGGTGTGGAAGAACCTGATTAGCTGTATTTATGCACGCTGCTTCAAAGAAATATTTGAAGTTGAGAATAAATTTTACCGAATTAATAAGACTTATTTAAAAAAAATCAAGGTCACAAATTCTGTACTTTCGATGGTATTTTCACACAAAATGATCCGGTCAGTGCGGATTAAAATATTTTTCAAAACTAGGGCATAATTTAAGCGAAACTCATTACACCGCATGCATCGCAATAAATATGTGCCCGGTAATGTTTACAGATGCAATCGTCGGAATATAAGAAATGCATGATTTATGGCGAATCTCAAGGCCGACTCCAATTGCCCCGCAGCTGATTGCCGATTTTAATCACTCGCGCTCAGATCGCCAGCCCGAGATAAAATTTTACATTTTTCCGAGCTGATAAATTGCATTTGAGCTGGAACCTGTTTCGAGACACAGAGAGAGTTACGTCAAAATTTCCAACCTCTTTGCTCTTTTTCTCATTGGCGCGAGATGAGAAAAGCTGCGGAAAGCAAGAGACTGGCTACGGGTTCGCGTTATATATAAAATTTAAAACACTGCAGAGCTTCGCGTCGAAGGGGCCGAGTTTTTTGTGCCCATTCATTGACAGCTACACAAGAGCGTGACATGGGACCTCAATGATTATTCCAGCTCACGTTTTATTTTTCAAACTCTTGAAAATCCTCTCTTGCGGGAACAAAAAGCATGTACAAGAAAGTCTGCAACTTTGAAAGGAGAGAGACTAAAAAAAAAATCGGATAGAGGGACAAATCGCAATAGGCACCCTATTTACTTTGGTCTCCAAGAAGAAGTGACAATTGGCGTGCCCTTTTAAAGGGCAGCGAAACCAGAGAGGCATGCGATGGCCCGGCGAGCAATTTGTCAAACGGCCCGACGATAAATCAAATTGGTCCGCGACTTGTTGGCACTCGTGAAAAGAAGCTCGCGCGCAAATATGCAACTCCTCATTCCTAGAAGCCCCGCGAGATGAATGATCACAATCAACACCTCTGCAAAAGAAGGGACGGACGCTTGCTCGGTCGCGCGGCTCCCAAACGGCACGACGCACCACCGGCTGCCTTTGGCAAAAAATCAGAAGAAGAAATTAAAGCGCGAACCAAAGCTATTTAGATGCGCTTCTCCTGCTAATATTCACCAAAGTGACAAACGCCTCCACGTGTTCTGGACCGCTGAAGACGAAAAACACTATTCAGAGACAATAAACCATTTAAGAACAAATAAATAATGAAAAATTCCGAATTTATTAATTAATAGTGAGATAATTATTTTTTATTTACTTCAAGTTATTTACTCGTTTTAATCACTGGATTTCTTGATTAAATTTTATCTTAATAAATTCATAAAGCAAAGTAAAACTCGCTTGTCCTGCTGAACATTTCACAGTATCAATCAAGAGTATTGGGCATAAAATTTATAGCATTAATATAGTTTGTCATAATAAATTTGAAAATAGAATATTATGCAAAACAAATTTATAAAATGATGCGTTAAAATTAATTTTATATGTTTAGATAATTGTTTAAAGCATGTGATTTTTTTTCTACAGTATAAGTAAACGTTATAATTTTATTATGAGGAAACTCACTAAATACTTTGTTAATATAAGTAATAATAAATATGATTAATATTAAAAACCAATAAAAACTAGACTGCATAGAGATAAAAACATAAAAGTCTTAAATTTTGATTTAAGTTTTTTGATTTACTGAGAAGACTTAATAACAATAAAAGCAAGCACTTACAATTTGAATTTTTTTATTCTCATTTAATGAAGGTTTTCTAGCTCGAATTTCAAGCCACCTTGTATAACAATCTCTCATCTAAATGCACACAGCTTGTCATGTTTTTTGAAGCTCATCAATTTTCGTGAGTGGCGCTGCGAGAGATCGGAATTCGCGATTTCGGAAGTGGAAAAGAGCCCTCTGCTTTTTTGCAGTAGATATAATATTGCATGCTGGGCGTGCAATTGTACAAAGTTTGTTGCACGACGCGATTGTCACACATCACAACGGGCTGGTTGGCTGGCTGGCTGACGGCTGGCTGGATGCGAGCAGTGTGTGTGTGTTATGTATGTTGATTCATTAGAGCGTAACACTGTAAAAGTGTATTTCATGAACATCAAGAGAGGAGTGCAGAAGCCATAGCCGCAGCATTATTTATGAAGCAGCTTGTGATGTGCTATGAGTGTAAATTTTATTGCCGTTCTTCTATAAAGCATAAAAATCCCCGGCACTTCTTTTTTCCAGGAATTCTATTCGCAAAAATTACTCCCCAAAAACTATATTCTCTCTCGAGAGAGACTTTATTATTCTCAAAACACAATTAATTTTTACGACATTCATGCCCGGCGTGTGTAGACACATTTTTTACTCCCAAAGTTAAAACCGTCCTGCGGTTCTTGCATATCATTATTATTATGTCGGAAGAGTCGTGCGTATTAGAAATAATATAATTTTTTTATTCGGAATCTCTTCTGGACACAGAGGAAAATTCACGGCGAATTTATTCCCCTTTTGAATATGCATGTATACTTATTATGTGTGTCCTCTCTTCTCTCTATATATAAAATTCCCTCTTTCAATGTGCTACCGGCACTCTCTGGATACAAAAAAAGCGGCACTCTCTTATCACCGACCGCATAATATCCATTCACAGAGGCCTTAATATACATACGAACACACATAACTCTTTTGACTCAAGCAGATCAAACAGCGGAGCGCCGGTGAGGATTTTATATGGCTCCTTTTAAGATTAACAAAGTGGACTTTATGTCCAGCAGCAGAGTGGAATAAGAGAGCAGAAAGCGAATTGAGTAGAGAATAATATACTAATGCTTTGACCGATATGTAATAATTTAAAATTGTATAGGGTTTTCCACTTTCAAAACGTAAATGTATAAAATATTCACTGATGAACGGCTCCGATCTAGATCAAATTGGTTTGAAGCTTGAAAAATTGAAGAGAATTTTGTGGTAATTTTACACCGGCCAAAAGGCATCCCACAAGTCCAGTCTGCCAAGTAATTGTCTATTTTAGTCACATCAAATTGTTTAAAACAATTTCTTGACAGGCTGAACATGACTTTATCAAATGACCTTAAATTCGGTTGACAGCAAAATGTGTTAAATTTTATCAGTTCAAGCCCAAACCAATTTCACTCAAACCGGAATTAATTAGTTTAATATTTTTTTTTCAATTTCAATTTAGATAACTCTTTATATCCTCTTTGGCCGGAGAACTTAAAAGATCTCCGAGTGCGTCAAAATGGACAATAATATTTATAATTTCTAAAGATTTGGTGAATCATCAAGAATCTCTTATGGATGTCAGTTGACCTTGGCTTGCACGCTGCGATGTGACAAAATTATAAATAAAAATATTCCCACGATTACGGAGTGA